CTTGGTTTCCCTTTAAAAGGGCTGCCAATCCACTCCCACATTACCGTAATGGTCTGGCGAGTCAACCCACCCACCACTCCCTCTATTATAAACACCCTCTAAGGTGGGCCCACTTTTACAGGCCTACTCCTCTGTCGGTTTCGGCACACCACAACCGACTAATTCCAATATTGATATGTTATCATATGCTATGTTTCCATATACGGCTATATTGCCACGACCACAAATATATATATATATATATATAAAAAATTATAATTATATATATATAATTAATATCATTCTATGTGTATTTTTATATTAATATATATATATATATATATATATATCAAAAATTATATAAGGGTCTTCAGATCAGTGAAAAAAGTTACTTATTGCATTTTTTGAAAATACATGGGCTGTGCAAAAAAAAATGACATTTCGACCCTCCTGGGGTCTTTATCAAGATCTTTTCAATTTTTTTTGCACAGCCCATGTATTTTCTAAAAATGCAATAAATAACTTTTTTCACTAATCTGAAGACCTAGTGTGCTCTCTTATACCATTTGTTTACTATAATTAATGCAGGATTTGCACCTAGGCATCTAAATGTTCTTTTTTCCTTAAGGGAGGAGTGCCAGGTTCTTCTATTTTTGTTATATATATATGTATTAATATTAAAATACACTTAGTGTATGTATGTGTAAGTGTATATATATATATATATATATATATATATATATACTTAGATCATATATATAATATATATATTATATATATGATCTAAGTATATATTTTATTTTACACTGTTTTAAAACCTTATTTCATTTTATTTCAGGCAGTAGGGGAGCTACCTGTCATTCCAAGCACTCCCCCTGCTGGCACTGCTATGGATGGCTTTTCCATCCATGTGATCGTGTGGTTCTCGCAAGGATCTGCAGCAAGGGGACTCCCTGGGATGTCAGGTAAGTCCCCCCATCACGATCGCCGGAGGGGGATCGCCAGCGAACAGGTAAGTGTGAAGGACGGCGTGGACGTTCTATGCCGCCTGCCGGCGTTTAGAGCCGGGTCCCCGATAGCATGCCCGTCGTCCTTAAGGGGTTAATCTATACAACATAGCTGGCCAAACAACATATCCTTGGGAAAAAAGTAGTCCGCCACCCACATCTTGAGGAAAAGGGGCACTCGAGGTTAAAATGTACTTCTTATTTCTTTGTTATCATAGAAAAATGTACACTAACCAAACTTTGCATAAATATCTTCTATATACTTTTTTTCAAAAATGTGTTATTTGTAAAACTGCACTTCTTATAGTTAGTCAAAATGTATATCTGTGCTAAGAACACAGAGAGCAAGACAAATAGCAGTTACCCTAGGATTACCTCCAACTAGTCATGTAGTTCATTATTTTGATGTAATGTATGACCCATGTAGCTGTTTTCATCTGCTCACTTGTAATCATGACCAGTGTATAGTCACCATATGGGCAGTCGGACTCCAGGACAACCCTCCCACATACCTAACCCAATAATGCACTGACACTCGGGTATATGGGAAAATTTGTCCACAGCTTTATTAAACAATCTGAATAATAATAACCATATATTCAATATAACATAATAATAGTAATAATTTAACAAATAAACATGGGTCATTGCCCCCATACTCCGCCCTCGCATCCGAATCCTTCTGTTAATATAAAAGGCAATGACCCCCATATAAATAACACATATATATAACATATACCAACATTATTCCAACATACCAACTTAAAGTGCCAAACATAAATTTAACCATGGCAGGGGTATACCCGGATACCCCTACCCCACCAGGTTCTGAGCCACCGACAGGACTCGAAACCTACCAACCACCAATGACCACAGTTTTCCATATCTGTCACGTTCATCCTAGGGAGCCTATTCCTTCTCCTTCAGCTCCCTGTCCCGCCGCTGTGAAAAAACGGGATATCCCCAACCATAAACAATATATATAGGGAGGGTGGGCGGGACAAACTTGGTCAGGTAGGAAATTAGAAGTGAGTTCACTTAAAATGGCTGCCTATTTAAATATCCCAACCCACTTACCCATAACTCCATACTTCCTTCCCTCCTCCTATGCCCGCCTCCTAACCCCTGTCAAGGCCCTTTTTCGCTTAGCTGTGGTTTGGCTACATGACCGGTGTATAGTCGCCGTATGGGCAGTCAGACTCCAGGACAACCCTCCCACATACCTAACCCAATAATGCACTGACACTCGGGTATATGGGAAAATTTGTCCACAGCTTTATTAAAACAATCTGAATAATAATAACCATATATTCAATATAACATAATAATAGTAATAATTTAACAAATAAAGATGGGTCATTGCCCCCATTACTCCGGCCTCGCATCCGAATCCTTCTGTTAATATAAACGGCAATGACCCCCATATAAATAACACATATATATAACATATACCAACATTATTCCAACATACCAACTTAAAGTGCCAAACATAAATTTAACCATGGCAGGGGTATACCTGGATACCCCTACCCCACCAGGTTTTGAGCCACCGACAGGACTCGAAACCTACCAACCACCAATGACCACAGTTTTCCATATCTGTCACGTTCATCCTAGGGAGCCTATTCCTTCTCCTTCAGCTCCCTATCCCGCCACAAGCTCAGACCTTGACCCCTTAAGCCGTCTGAGCTCTGCCACCCTGAAGAAATAGCGCCCTGATCATTCCGTCTTGCCAACCCAGGTTCAGCAGGTTCCATCCCACTGCCGAAAGATGAACGCCATCCGAGCGGTAGTACCCCGGCAACCCGCCTTCCAACTCGCTGTGCCGCACTACCACCCCCCCAACTTTCTCACGAAGCTTGCCATCAAGCTATTCACTTTCTTCCTACACTTGTCAATGGTCACCGGGTCCCTTGCGTGCCGCCACCGCCTCCTCGGGATAATCTCTGACCATACTAACATTACCCCCGGAAGCACGTCCCTCAATTTGTTGAGGTCCTGCTTCATCCACTTCACCAACCTCCACTGCGGTGTTAGGCCTAAGTCATTGCCCCCCGCGTGTAGCACCAGCAGGTCCGGCCTCTGCCCGCCTGCCACCATCCGGAACACTTCCCGGCAAACTTCCCCCCAACAAAAACCCCTATACCCAAACCATTGCACCACCAACTGGTCCCTTGAAAAGCCCAGCTGCTGGCCCTGAGCTCGAGCTGCGGCTCTCCTTTCGGCCCAGAAAACAAAGGAATGGCCCACGATCCATGCAACATAGCCTGGGGAAGAGAGAAAAAACACAGATTGTAACAACACCCCCCTATTGCCCTCGGGAACCCCCGAAAAAAGGCCTGCCATATCATTCTAACAATCCCAACCGCACGTACGACCGGAACCGTACTGACTCCCACCTCCCAATTCGTTTAACTATGTCATCCCCCAGACCCAACCTTGCGGCTTCCGTGGCCGCCCCAATGCGAAAAGAATGTGTACCAAAGCTATCCGCCCGTAAACCCATTTTTCCCAGGCCCAAACGAAAAACCTTCATAAATTGAAATTGGGAGAGGGAAGACCCGTCCGCGTGCACCAGGAGGGATCCCCCAACCCTCGGCCTCCTGATCAAATACTCTGCCACCGAGGCTACCGGGTACAGAACAGAGCCCGGTAGTGCCCGAAGTGTCACATCACGGCCCACCCAACGTAAACCCGTCTTAGATTCGGCCAGGTGAACCACCAATTTCCCCCCTTGCAGCCGAACCCCCGAGACCTGTAGGCCCCCGGCCGCCACCCGATTGGCACTCACCAACTCGCTAATCCGGAAAGCCCAGAAGAAAGCCAACAGAAACCCTGTCCGAAACAGGGACACCTCAAACTCGTTGAAGCAAATTCCGGGCAGCCCACTAACCAGATCCCCCAACACCCGCACCGACACCGGGCGCCTAGTGTCTGGAAACCTGCGCCCCTTCCGATACCCCTTAAGCGCCTGCCTGATGAAGAAGGACTTAGTAACGTCTTCCTTCCCATGCAGCTTAAACCAGAAAGCCATCGCCGCTATGGACCTGTCAACCACCGCCGGAGAGGCCCCCTTTGCCAGCAATTGACAGGTGTACCACAGAAAGGCGTCCCGGAGCGATTCCCCTTCCGGCACGCTGTCCGGCCCAGCCCAAGATCGTTCCCATGAACCCCACACCTTACTGTAAGCTGCCCATGTGGCCTTCACAAGTCCCCCAAGCAGGACGCTCCCAGCCGCCAAATTTCGTCCGGGCACACCTGGCCCGCTTCCTGCGCCTCTGGTGCCACCGTCCGGAATCGGGACCACTGAAAATGAGAGAGAGCGTCAGCCACTTCGTTCAGGTACCCGGGCACATGGCGTGCGCGAAAGACAACATTGAGGGACATGCACATTAAGACGAAGCGCTGCAGCAACCGGACCACCGGTTTTGATGCTGCCGACTGATTATTCACTGCGTGCACTACCGCCATATTGTCCGAGAAAAAGACCACCTTCCAGTCCCGCAGCCCTTCCCCCCACAGAGCCATCGCGATCACCAGCGGGAACAATTCCAGGAAGGCCAGGTTCCGCATAAGGGCGCTCGGCCCCCACGCCACCGGCCACCTCTCCGCACACCATTTCCCACCAAAGTATGCCCCGAAGCCCACACTACCCGACGTGTCAGTGAACAGCTCCAGCTCTGTCACCGACACCCCTTCCTGATGAAAAAACACTGTCCCATTGAAGTCCCGCAAGAAGGTATCCCACACGGCAAGGTCGGCCCTCATGGTGGACGATACCCGGATGAAATGGCATGGGGATCACACTCCCGCCATAGCTGCTGACAGGCTGTGGCTAAAAACCCTACCCATCGGGATCACCCGGCAAGGGAAATTCAGCATTCCGATCAACGACTGCAGCTGCCGCAGGGTGACTTTCCGCGCCTGCGCTACTGCTGCCACCGCCCCTTTTAGCCCTTGTAGCTTTGCCAGCGGCAGCCGACATTCGCCTCGTACCGAGTCAATCTCCAGCCCCAGGAAACTAAGGCACACTGCCAGGCCTTCTGTTTTATCTGCTGCCAGCGGGACCCCGAAGCAACCCGCGACCCACTCGATAGTCCGAAGCAAACGCCGGCAAGCCCCAGGCAGAAGAAATCATCCAAATAGTGCACCACCAATCCATTCCCCGCCTCCGCCCGTACTACCCATTCGAGAAAAGTGCTGAACTTCTCAAAGTAAGAGCACAAGATGGAACAGCCCATGGGGAGGCACAAGTCCACAAAGTATGCCCCTTCAAAGAAACACCCCAGCAGGTGGTGACATGCCGGGTGGACCGGAAGCAGCCAAAATGCCGCCTCAATGTCCACCTTTGCCATCAGCGCCCTGCGCCCGGCCCTCTTTACCAGCTCGACCGCCCGGTCGAATGATGCATATGAGACCGAGCACAACTCCTTGTCGATATCATCATTCACCGACGCTCCCCTGGGGTAGGAGAGGTGGTGAATGAGCCTGAACTTCCCCGGATCTTTCTTGGGTACCACCCCGAGCGGGGAAATCCTGAGGCCTTCCAACGGCGGTGCCGGGAACAGGCCCGCCATCCTACCCAACAAGACTTCCTTTTCTAATTTCTCCCGCACCACCCCTGGGAACTCCGCCACCGACTCAAGGTTGCACCGTACCCCAGACCACCCCCGTCCCGGAACAGGATAAAGAACCCTTGCCCAAAGCCTGCCCGGAGCAACTCGGCGTCCGCCCTGTTACCGTAGCGGCTTAGCCATGGCTCCATCGCGTCTAGCCTCACCGGGGTTAAGCCCCGGGGCAGAGGATACCCCCCCCTAAACTGTAGCAGCGACTCCGGTATTTTCTGACTTCCCTTTTTTGAAGCATCGGTTAAGCCTGTGTGCGCCCCCGCAGCCTGAGCACTCGTGCTTAAAGCGACAGGTGTTCCCCCATTTGCACTGGCCTTCGTTGAAGAGCCAGCATAAGCCCTTTTACAAGGCGGCCGATGAGGCGGACTGCCCCTTTGCGCCAGCAGTGTGCTGAAAGGGCTGCGCCTTCTGCGCCTTCTGCGCCATCATCAATTTCATCCAGAGGGGCAGGTCCATTTGGTCCCATCTCATACCCGGATTGGCCGCCAAACGCTGCTGGAACTGCTCATCATACCGCCACCACGCCAGCCTGCCGTAGGTGCGGTATGCCTCCCAAATTCCGTCCAAATAGCAAAACAGGGAGGAGCACAGCCTCTGCGGCGGCCTCCTGGCCCGCACCGGACGGTCCTGTTCGCCCTCCTGGGCCGCCATTCCCGCCAGGGCCGGTCCGAGTTGGGCCCGCAACCAATCCGCTCCATGACCTCGCGCCGCTGTCCGGATCGGATCCCCTCCAGCAGCCTCTCCACTTCGTCCATGGCCCTGCAGAAACGAAAAAGAAGAAAAAAGGCCCTACCAAACCCAATCTGCACACACAGAAGTGCCCACAAACTTGGTCAGGTAGGAAATTAGAAGTGAGTTCACTTAAATATTTAAATATCCCAACCCACTTACCCATAACTCCATACTTCCTTCCCTCCTCCTATGCCCGCCTCCTAACCCCTGTCAAGGCCCTTTTTCTCTTAGCTGTGCTTTGGCTACATGGGGCTACAAGAGCGGAACTACTGCCGGTTAACATCGCTACTGAGCCCCTGTAATATTGGCAGCCATCGGTGGGAGGAAGTGAGTGCAGATCAATTGTTCCTAACTAACAAACATGGAGCCTTGAGGAAAGGAGAGTAAGAGGCAGAGAGGAGCAGGTATGTGAACCGACTCCCGATAGCCTCAGCCAGGAGAAGCCACCCTTCTGCACCCAAAAGATAGGAAACAGGAGGGTGGCTAAAAGAGGACCAGTATGTGTGTCTGTATGTTTGTCATTGTGTGTATCTTTATATCTGTATGTGTGTCAGTGTGTGCATCTGAGTTTCTTTGTATTTGTATGTGTGTCAGTGTGTGCACCTGTGTGTCTCTGTATCTGTGTTAGTGTGTGCATCTGTGTGTCTCTGTATCTTTACGTGTGTCTGTGTTTGTATCGCCGTGTCTCGGTATTTGCATGTGTGTCAGTGTTTGTAACTCTGTGAATGTGTATCTGCATGTGTGTCAGTGTTTGTATATTGGTGTCTGTTTATCTGTATGTATGTCAGTGTTTGTATCTTTGTGTCTGTTTATCTGTATGTATTTCAGTGTTTGTATCTGTGTGTCCCTGTGTGTAACTGTGTATTTGTATCTGCATGTTTGCCAGTGTGTGTGGCAGTTTATGTGTACACGTTGTGACCGAAAGCAGGGAATTGTGCTGGATGGAATCTATGTATCTCCCCACATTGTGCAAGGTTTCCACTTTGTGTAATGCAGAAGGCTAGCCCCAGGGAAATGTGTTATTTTTGCATTTTATATGTATGAATGATCAGGGCCCTGGGGTGGAGCACTTGTGGAGCCAGTGCTCTGCTCCACATTTTGGAGATTGCTGTGAGGCTGCAGGTGAGGAATCCCATTCCAACACTCTGGTTTACTTCACCTGCAGAAGAGAATTAATTGCTGGTGCTGTTAAAGCGGCACTGTCATGCCGAATTCTGTTTTTTTTTTTAACCCCTCTCCCGCCTCCACTACATCCAATTGACTCACTAGTCACCCCCAAATGCCCCTAAGCCCCCAGCATTACCTATTTTTTAATCCTTATTTTCTGCCCCGATCTATATTCAGGGCGCAGCCATCTTTGTGTGGGTAGGTGAAGTCCCTCAGGGACACGTCATCAGCCCACACTAGACAGACTGTGAGATTCCGCACATGCCCAGTGAAACACCTGGACATGCGAACGGGAATTTCATCTATTCATTCATTCATCAGACAGACGAATGAGTGAATAGAAATATCAGCCGAACAAACAAACAAACACAATGTATCAGTGTTTGTTTGTTCGTTCAGTTTGTTACAAGGAGGGAGCTACCAGCATGCAGCTCCCTCCTTGTAATATGTAACTATAGAAGCGGCAGGGAGCAGTGCTCCCCACCACTTCATAAGCCCCCCTAGGTCCCCCTCTCACTCTATGGGGGTCAATATGACCCCCATAATAGCACAAGGGAGATAAAAATCTCCCAAATGCCCCTACTCGCTATACCAGGGGTGGGGGCCGGGGGGGGCAGTAGGTCCCCCCCTCATTCTCACTATGGCCCCCACCCGCCGCCCAGGGGTGGGGGCTGGGGGGGGCAGTAGGTTCCCCCCCCCTCATTATCTTCATGGCCCCCACCCGCCGCCCAGGGGTGGGGGCGGGGGGGGGCCGTAGGTCCCCCCCCCTCAGGTCCCCCCCCCCCCTCATTATTGCCCCCACCCGCCGCCCAGGGGTGGGGGCAGTAGGTCATTTGGTCTCCCCCCTTATTTTATTTTAGGGCCCCCACCCGTCGTTTAGGGGTGGGGGCCAATAGTTTTTTTTACAGTGAGCAGCCACAGGCTGCTCACTGTTTACCAGACATGCCCCTACTCGCAGTATAGCGAGTAGGGGCATATTACTTACTAATACTAAGTAATTTTTACTTGGTATTAGTAAACTTGTCTGAAAGACCAATTTAGGTCTTTCAGCCTTTTAGAAGATAGCTCCCTGATACCATGGGAATTAGGGAGTTATCTACTAAGCGGCTGCAAGATGCAGCCACAGCAAGAATAGGATCAGAGTTTCATTCATTCTAATGAAATTCTGATCCGAATAAAGTGCCGAATTGCGTTCTAAAAGAAACGAACATTCAGTTAGAACGCAATTCGGCAGTTTTGTGTAAAATGACAGGAAGCATTGTGGGAACACTGAGGAAAGCTAGGGATCATGGGAAAATTGCTCTGACCAGCGGAAATGAAGCACACTTTGCTCCTCCGCTGGTTAGAGCTGGTCAAGCGGAGGAATCCCCCATAAGGCAAAGAGTCCCTACTTTGTCTTATGATTTTAAAGAAAACTAAAGAAGACAGGAAGAAAAGAATACAGAAATATAAAACTATCAAGTAAAAATGGCGCTATAAAATCAATAAAAAAATAATAACACTCACAAAGGCTAGCAAGCACTAATAAAAGTGAAATAGCTCTAAAACCACTCAAATAGAATACAAAAAAAGAACAAAAGTGCGCTGTGCCTTTAAGTGCTAATATAACAATATGAACAATATGTAAATCAATAATGGTCCAACTTTAGTGAATAAAGTGCAAATACAGTATATGTATATTATTAAAGTGCAAATAAATATAATCCAGTGGTAAATACCCTGTGAATATGTGCTCTTTGTGAAATACAAACAACAAAGAACTTACTCCTTTAAATTTAGACTCTGTTGACACTTGAAGGAGTATCTCTTTAAAACGCTCCACATAAAAACATAAGATAGAGGGACAAAAGAACACAATATAGTGTAACTCTGTATCACAAATGTAACCAGGAAATAATAAAAGAATATCACTCACAATGGTAGAGCAGAATAAAGTCTGCTCTAACTATAAAAGCGTGCAAATCCTCTCATCAGGATTCTGTAGGATAGTAGATAAATGTGCTTAAAACAAGCAGGACGGCACCAAATAAAAATAAGACTTTATTGGTATAAAATTTCACAGTGAGTCATTGTCAGGATACTGACAGGGATCCAATACGCAGAGTGCGCACAGAAGGAGGTACGTATACCGGACCTTAGAATGGCCGGACTAACGTAAGGACAAAGCAAGAATAGTCAAAAGGTAAGCCGAGGTCAAGGGAGCCGGAGGACAGGTAAGCGAGATACAAGCCGAGTCAAAGGAGAGGAGAGGACAACAGGACAAAAGACAAGCAAGGGTCAAAACCGGAAACACAAGATAAAGAACGCGCTGAGTGACTAGCAAGCTAGAACCACGACAGGGCAATGAGCAGTAGTAAAGGTTTCCTTTAAATACCCTGTTACCTAAATAGAGACCACGCCCCCAAAAGGTCCGGAATAGCGGTTCCCGGCACTTAATGCAAATGCCGACGTCATGACGTCGACGCTAGCCGTCGCGTCATAAAAGGGGGAGGAGCTAGCGCGGCCGGCGCGAAAACGGCCGAAATATGCCGAAATGCTAGGGGAAGGGAGCCCCTAAGCAGAGAGGATGTCCTCCCTGGATACATCACCAACAGGTACCCTGACAGTACCCCCCCTTCTAGAAACGCCCACCGGGCGGATGGGACCTGGCTTAGAAGGAAAACGAACGTGGAAGGCCCGTAGAAGACGAGGAGCATGCACGTCTATACCAGGAACCCAAGACCTCTCTTCTGGACCATAACCCTTCCAGTCTATGAGGTATTGCAGCTTCCCCCTAGAAATACGAGAATCAAGGATGGACTTGATGATATATTCCTCCTGACCATCCACACGGACCGAGGATGGAGGAGTAGAGCGGGAGGAAAATCTGTTACAAACAAGAGGTTTCAATAACGACACATGAAAAGAGTTAGGGATGCGTAGAGTAGGAGGTAGATCCAGCAAATAGGAAACCGGGTTGATCCTCCTCAGTACCCTGTAAGGACCAATGTAACGAGGAGCAAACTTCAAGGAAGGAACTTTCAGGCGAATGTGTCTGGTACACAACCAGACCCTATCCCCGGAGAAAAAATAGGAGCAGGACGTCTACGCCTATCAGCATGTGACTTAAACACCGCGGAACTACGTTCAAGAATTTGTCGAGTCTGATCCCACAACTTTCTCAGGTTGGCTATATGAACATCAACCGACGGTATACCCTGGGAAGGAGACACCGACGGAAGAACAGTAGGGTTAAAGCCATAGTTCAAGAAAAAGGGGCTATTACGAGTGGAACCACAAACAAGGTTGTT